CTCATTTTGGTGAGGTGTTGCAAGAAGGGAAAGGGTTAGCAGAGTGTTTTCCAAATACTAAAATTTTCTTATATGGTAGATATCTGGGATGTAGTCATCAACTCTTAAGTTTCTGTTGTTTATGGCTTATATTGCATGAACACGAGAAAGAGTTGTGACTTCCCATTTTCTGCAAGAGCATAAATGACAAATGTTTGAAAGCTTCTTCATTGACATGCCTCATTCCTTTCATTTATCTTTCTCATGTTTGTGGAGAAGTTAATTTGACAACCTTCCAAATAATTTCATTTAATAAGTTTCCAGGAAACCTCTTCCTAAAGTTGTCATATAAATGCCTCACACAAAATGTTTGTTCAACATTTGACAATAGTTCATCCATTGCAGGTAACAGACTCTGTAAACAAAATAAAATGAACAAAATACAATGGAATGTAAGGAAATATAATGACAAATCTAAATAAAATATAATGAACCAAATAAAGACTTTAGATAAATGTACCTTTTGCTGATCGATGATGAATATGTAAGTTAGACATTCATTCATACCTCCTAGATCATTAATTAGAAGCTATAAAAATCATGATCACTTATCTTTTGTTTCCCCATCTACAACAATAACAACAACTATTAGAAGTATCTGATCATTGGGATCTCTACCTATTTCTTCCAGAATCTTCCCTCCACAAAGACCTTTTAAGAAGTATTCATCAAGACCAATGACATGCCTACACTTCTTAAAATTCTCATTACAAGCAGCATAACACACACACACACATATATATGTGTGTATATGTGTGTGTGTGTATAATATCTGAAATAAGGCCCTGTATCTTCAACACCTTCTTGCATAGTTTGGACATTTAATTCTTCAGTTGATCCAGGATTTTTCCTAAGGATTTCATGACAATAGTCATAAATTTTTGTGTAATCCCCTAAAAATGAACCATCAACCTTGTCCCTAGCTGCAAATCTAGCCCTAATTACCATCGTCTTATTAATCCCTACATTTCATTTCCTTTGAGCCTTTTCCTTTATATCCTTTATCTTCATCCTAATATTTTTTTTTGTGAATTTTAAATCCTCTTACTCATCATCTTGACATTGTATTCTTTACTATAGTTATGGATATAAATTACTTTCCTAAATTTCCAAGTTTCCTCCTTTAGCAACTTGACAATATTCCTTACACATAACACTTGTCGTTTGTTTGTCATTATTTTAAAACTTTAGGTTCTTACAAGAATGGACAACATGTGTTTTGATTTCTTCCTTAAACTCACTTTTTGTACTAAAAATGTTCCTAACTCCCATTTTTAATTTGACATATCTTTCTGTAACTTGAACTTAAGATGCTTCTTCTTGGTTGTTCCACTACTCCCATCACTTTCACATCCACTTTCTAACTCTTCACTCTCATTTTCATTCCCATTTCCTCTCCATTATCTTCTTCCTATTTATGTTTCTTCTTTTTTTTCTAGTTCCCCCTCCCCACTATCATTCAACCCATGACCAACATTATTCATCCCCTCACCACCATAATTCAACTTCTCACCACCCTGCAACCCAACGACATACTCATCCTCCTTTGTTATCTCTTCTATAATATTTGCAATTATATCCCCTTTCTTATGAATAAGACTCTCAACATACTCAGGAATAGCTATTTCCTCAGAAATATGACTCTCAATATACTCTGGTTGGGACTGATGATGTTGTATATAAACATCACCACTCAAATGAACCCTATAAAGGTTAGCCATGTCTAATGCTCTCTTGTCATCATTTAACACATTCATCCCAAAAGTGGTATCATTATAATAAATGATATCTACCTCAACATAACCTAATACCTTTAGTATACCTACTAACTCTAGCTATCCATATCAATTTTTAATTCTTTTCATTTTCTTCCTTCGTACACAGTTTGTTCAATGTCTATAAACTCACACTATGATGAATTTTCAAACATAAGTATTGATCCATTTCTACCTAAGTCCAGGAAACGTAAAATTAGCTAAGGGGGAAACAAAAATAACACATAACATTACAAACCCTAAACCCTAAAATCAAACACAAGTATCCATCCATTCTTACCTAAGGGAGAAAAACCTAAAATCCTAAAACGAGAGATACCACAAAATATTAAACCTTTTAGAAAAACAAAAACACCAGAAAACATTACAAACCCTAAATCCTAAAATCCAAACAATGTAAGGGATACTAACCAAGGCCGCATTCATTTTCTCCACCTTCGAATACACTTTCACCTTCGTCTTCACCTTCGCTTACGCCTTTGTCTTTGTCGCCTTCTTAGAATATTCTTTCAAGTTTCATTGCTAGGGTTTCTCTAATTAGGATACGAAGATGAAATGAAAATGACAAAGTTAACATTAATAACTTAATACTCTCATCAAACTCCACCTCATTAACTAATTTCAACATCAACACCATTTGTCACACAACTTTGACTATTGGTTGTAACAGAAAGGATAAATGTGTCATGTTTTTAAAAGATAAAGGATTTGATCTTACCGGTTGGTCAGAACCTGCAAGCTGGCCAGAGGATGATCTTTGAAGGGATGAAAAGTTGAGGAGAAAAAAGGGTTGTACCTGCAAGGCACTCCAAAGATCAAGTAAGTGTGGGAGAAAAGAAATACAAGCAATGTTGTAGGGTTTCAGAGATGAATAGTGAATACTTGGCCCTCACAAGTGTGAGGGTTTATATCATACCCTTGACACGTAGCCATTGGTTTCTATTTTTGGGCCTAGATATCTGGGTCCGTGAATATAGGAACTGACAGGACTTGGTCAAACTGGGAAGATGTGTCTGTAACTAGCCGTTAGTTCCAAGGACGAGGTAGAATATGGTTGGCTCCTGGTTGTCTGGTCGACTTGGTGTTGGGAAGATGGAGAGGTGTTTGTCAGACATTGGTGGTCTCACTGGTCTGTGAGAGCCATCGATCGGTGGTGCCTGACAGAGGGCGGGGGATTTCAGGCCATGGTCGAATGGGTCATGCTGAAGGTGGAGCATAGACCAGGCCCACTCAAATCGTTGGGCCATTCTAGAATAATAGCCCCCCAAGTCATTGCTTCTGGGTAGAGGAGTGGTGACTTTAACACCCGCTCGCGGAACAGGGGTGCTCCTTATGGGGAGTATGTGTGACGCTCGTTGTGTTCGATTCGCGAGAATATGAAAAGTTGAGCGGTTGGACTTAAAATATGAAGAGGTAGTGTGTCATATCTGTCTTGGGCCGCGTGCTATCATAAAAGCACAATGATGGCAGGCCTAAGGACTAGGATATAATGATGACGACCCTAGGTCTCCCTAGTTGCGTTCCAACTTACACGAAGATGAGGTCAGCTATAAATAGGAGAGAAGCAACACACTTTGCATTTTTTCGTTCTTCTATTCTCTTGCTCGTTTTTGCTCGGCTGGTGACCTACAAGGTTTCTTGCTGATTTCCGTCGCTCGTCGTTGTTTCTTCTGTCTTCCTTCCTTCTTCTACTGGCAAGCTTTCATATTTTTCTTGTATTTGGCTGATTTAGCCTTTGTTATAGCTTTATAGACAATATGAATCCTGCTCAGGAGCGCATGGTCTAGAATCTTGCTTCAAAGGAGAAGAAGATGGTGAAGGACGCTAATGGCGATACGGGGACGACTTCAGTGACCGGATCGATCTCATTTTCACCGGGCCCCATTGCCGGTACTCTTTCCCCCTCCAGGTGTCCTCGGAGGCAAAGAAGCCACGTATCATGGGTAGTATCAACTTGACTGGTGAGAAGGGGAAAGGGAAATATGACTTGCCTCCCTGTTGGCTAGAAAATGCCTTTTTTTAAAGGTGCTGCTTTGCAACTTCCTCGGGATGAATCGCTTCACCTCAAGGGAGTGGATCGCCAAGCAAAGAGGGCGGCGTTGGCGCAAGATACTGGGCCCTGATAAGGATACTAGAGATGGTCGTTGTTGTAACTGGTTTTAAAATGAGAGTCGTCACCCTTAATTTTTATCTTAAGGAAGGGAATCTAAAGGTTAACCTTAAAGAAGTTAGAGATTCTAGGTTTTTGGACTCGTTCTTAGACGAAGGAAATGTGTTAGGCATGCCTCATCAACCATGTTCACAAGGATACTAGGGTTAGAAGCGCAATCTTTAAGAAATAAGGTTTTAATTTTTTATTAGGGAAACTCGCCACGATTTTAATCATATGCCTACGAATTTATCCTTGAACCTTTTATGGATGGCGTAGAATTTCTTTCGAATTTATCCTTGAACCTTGTCTGAGTTTTGTAAAAGAGTGATCGTAGGCGCAATTCACAGTTAATTTTGAAAGTAATTCTATTTAATCCTTTTTCGAAAATAATCTTGTAGTTTTTGTTATGTTAGTAAAAAAATTATTATTGATTGGTTAACTATATTAAGACATAGAACGGGAGGAGTGTGATAAAGTCTCCTCGTCACGTTCGCGGATGGAGTATTTGATAAATTATGCAGATTTAAACATCTTCTTGAACTGTTGAATTAAATATTTATTATTAACAAAAAGATGTTCGAATTATACACAAAGTTATATTATTCTAAAAAAATCTAAAAATGTATTTTTTGGTGTTTTATATTTATAATTTAGAAAAATAACTAAGTCTAAACTAGCTTAAATTAATCCAAAATAAATTGCAAATTCAATAGAAAAAACTAAAGTTAAACCAAGTAATTTAAGAGAATGTATAAAAGAAATTAAAAAAGGGATTGTTGGCCCAAGGCCCATGTAATATGTCTAAAACCCTAATTCACAACAATTAATATATGAAAGAAAGAAGAAAAAAAAAAGGACTAAAAGCATGTAAGTGGGACACCTCTCTCACTGTTTCAACTTGCAGAAAAATTAAAGCCAATTGTTTCAACTTTTCAAACAACATAACCACCCAATGCTAAGCTAACACGTGTTAAAAAAAATAAAAATAAAATAAAACTAAAAAAACACACAACATTTGATATAATAGAGAGAAATCAAAACAGATCTGCTACATCTTCCTCACGAGTTCGTCTGTTTTCAAGCTCTTCTTCTCTCACAATTGTTTCTGATTTTTTCACAAACAAACTCTTAGAAACAGAGAAACAACACCTCATATTTCATTACCAAGACCAGTATTGAGTTAAGAGATGAGAACGGGAAAACTTACCGCAGGCGAGATGGCTATGACGTCGAAATGAAGGGCTTCGGATCGTGAGTACAATCAGCGACTCAAACGGCGAAGCTGGTGGTGGTTGATCGCGACACGATGAGGTTGATTCGCCGTTTTCGTGGCAGCGGCGAATATTAGAGCTTTCTGGTCGCAGTTGGTTGGATCGTGTCGTCGGGGTATCGCGATTTGTGTGGAGTTGCTGTCGAGTGCGCGTGGAGGTTCTGCAATTGACGAAGGAGATGGTGGCTACAGTGGTCGGAGGCGTTCGGCCTGACAGTGTTAGGAGCAGTCTGGTTTGACGGAGCTGACTGCGGCGATTGCTATGCATGCGGGTGCATTGCGAGCTTCGGCGAAGTCGAAACTATTGTCTTCTTGCATTCTCCAATTTCTTTTTCATGCAAAAGACAAAAGAACAACAATTTCCAAATTCTTTTGCAATTTCATGTTGTTTTCTGAAAATAGAAACAAAACAATGCAAAGATTTGTGTGAAATTGTTTATTTTGTTCATGGTAAATTAGATTGTTGATTCGTGGGTGACTGAAACAAAAAACAAACAAAAGTTTTTTTGAACGATTTTGGATAGAATTAAGTATCACAAGAAAAATTGGAAAGTGTACATATTCACATGAATATTGTATGGGAAATTGTGTTTAAAGATAATGTATCGGGATTTGTGTATAAAAGTGTAATGTGAACATTAAAAAAGAGAAAAAAAATTAAGAGATGTTTATCCCTAACACTTAGTAGAATAAAAAATAAAATTGAAAATAAAATAGAGAGAGGACGGTCTCGTATAAAATCATCGGCCAATAATAAAATAATAACACCAAAAGTTTTTGAAGAGAAAAATTGAAAAGAAAGTGTACGAAGAAAAAATGAAAAAAAGTTGTTGATAGAAGTGTAATTGTGAGAATTTGTTGATGAATTGTGGATCTATGATTGAATTGTGGATGAAAAATTAGGACAACAATGAGTCTTATTTATAGACTTAGAATTAAGTTAAAAATACTTAGCAAGTAAGTCAGCCCAAAAACCAAAATAAGCCTAAAACCTGATTTCCAAAAAAGGAAAGAAAATTAGTAAAAAAAACTAAAATAAAAAATGTATCACAAGAGGTTTGAACTTGCGACCTCACACTTACAAGCTTCATTATTTACCAATTGTGTTGTGTTACTGTTTTGTAAATAAATTCAATTGAAATGTGTGCAAATATTTGCTATTTTTAAAAATACAAATAATTTGAAATAAATTATTATATTTTTAACTGGACTTGAGAATGAATATTTATAAAACCCCAAAATATTAATGTAAATCAAAAGAATTTTATAAAAATCAAAGTTTTAAATTAATTTCGACCGTAATGATAAAGAGTTGGAAAATTTGGGATATGACAACTGCCCCTATTTAATCACTCTTTGATTGAATGGTGCGAGAATGCACATGTCTCGCACATTCGAATCAGAGGATTATTAAATAATGGAAGACCCCAAAATTTGGACCAAAGATTTATTAAACAAGGATACACTGATATAGCATACCTCAGAGCTTAAAAAAATAGGCAAGGATGATGATGTATAATCCTACCAAAGTTTGAATAAAGAAATAGGCAAAGATGATGATGTATAATCCTACCAGAGGTAAACAACACAAGTTGAAAGATTGATAACTTATTGTTGCATGGAGACTGGTGCAACAAGCTACACCGCAATAATATATTAGTTTGGAATTTGACTCACTAATGCTATGAGACTAACATAGTAAGCTAATGACGTGGATTTTGCACATTCATCGCAACGTAGGGGACGAATAAAACAAAATTTGATAACACATTACTGCATGGAGACTGATGCAATGGATTACGCAGATTTCGTTATGTTTACTATAATCTATGGAGTAAACAATACGAGGATGAACCTTTGCATTTATCACAACCTAGGGGATAAAAGACAATAGGGGTGGGCTTATGTTATTCATCACAACCTAGGGGATGAATAATATAACCCTGAAAATTCGGATATCTATTGCAACCTAGGGGATATATATTTTAAGAGGTAATTCTCTCACCTACCATAACCTAGGGGGTAGATGATTCAAAAAGCTTGATAACAACATCACTGCATGAAGACTGACGCAATGAGTTATATTGCATATTTCGTCATGTTTACTACAACCTAGGGAGTAAACAGTACGAGGACGAACCTGTATATTTATCACAACCTAGGGGATGAAAGACAACAGGGTTGGGCTTACGTTATTCATCGCAACCTAGGGGATGAATAATATAACCCTGAAAATTCGTATATTTATCGCAACCTAGGGGATAAATATTTGAAGAGGTAATTCTCTCACCTACCACAACCTAGGGGTAGATGATTGAAAAATCTTGATAACAACATCGCTGCATGGAGACTGACGCGATGAGTTATATCACAGATTTTGTCCTGTTAACTACAACCTAGGGAGTAAACAGTACAAGGATGAACGTATGCATTTATCACAACCTAGGGGATAAAAGATAACAGGGGTGGGCTTACGTTATTCATCACAACCTATGGGATGAATAATATATCCTTGAAAATTCGCATATCTATCGCAAACTAGGGGATATATAATTGAAAAATCTTGATAAAAACATCACTGCATGGAGACTGACGCAATAAGTTATATTGTCGACTTCGTTATGTTTACTACAACCTAGGGAGTAAACAGTACGAGGATGAATTCACGTATTCATTGCAACCTAGAGAATGAATAATATGAATATGGAAATTCGCACATCTACCATAACCTAGGGGGTAGATGATTGAAAAAGTTTGATAACACATCATTGCATGGAGACTGACGCAATGAGTTATATCGCATATAAAAAGCTATTTTTGATGATCAAATCTTAGATAACTTGATCAAAGATGAGATCATATTTTTTACTGGTTGTGTCTATTCTCAACCAAGGTAATAATCTGATGGAGGGCCTAAAGATATTGGTTTCTCCCAAAGTATGTTTGGAAAAAAATGCCATGTATGATGTATATGCATAATTTCTTAGATTGATATGGAGCCCAGGGTGTATGCACGTCCAGTGTGTTGTGTATGCCCCAAATATTTACATATGTACCAAATGTGTGTATTTGCCCTAAAATGTAATGAAAATGTTTTTTGATATTTCCTCCTTTTAAACCATTGGTTTTGTGTTACCAACTCCCCAACCTCGCATTGTTGTGGTATCTTTGAATTGATTTGAATATGATGAAAATTATTCGCGTATCTTGATATTTATACCGTAGGCACAGGCGTAGGTGTGGACGTAGTTGTAGATCTCTTTCGACTTTTTTCTAACCAAAATAAACTTTGATGTTTTATCAAATTCTCTTTGGTATTTCCATATGTTAGATGCCCCAACTGTTATGAATGACCTTGATACTTTGACATGTGTATGTCAAGCTTGATGTGAGGCTTTTAACAGGAAATATACTGCCGAGATTTCCATGGAATCTACTACTGATACTTAATTGAGAACTACCTTCGGCCGAGGTCTTTTGGATAACCAACTGTCGAGATCAACCAGGGGAATCTACTACCAAGATTCGATTGAAAACTACCTTTTGTCGAGGTCTTCTAGATAACCAACAATCGAGTTCAACCAGGGGGAATCTACTACCAAGATTCTATTGAGAAATACCTTCTGTCGAGGTCTTCTAGAAAATCATCTATCAAGATTAACCAGGAGAATCTACTGCTGAGATTCGATTGTGAACTACCTTCTGCCGAGGTCTTTTGGAAAATCATCTGCCGAGATTAACCAGGAGAATCTACTGTCGAGATTCAACATATAATATATACCTTAGTTGACAATGATGATTGTCTTCACATGAAATATGGTTTATGCTATGCGTTATCCTTTATGATTATGACTTGAATGCTTTTTAAATGGTGCCCCTGTTGTGGTCAAAGAAATGATTAAGACTCAGAGAGGTTACTAGTGTAACAAGATGTGAAATCAAACTTTCCAAATGTTTTGATGAAGACAAGCTAGCATGCAAAAATGAATGGATCAAGATAGAAGATTTATCTCAAGCAAAGATTCATTGATCAAGATCAACATTTAAAGACTTATGGCTTAAGGTATATGAAATTTTTGATCTTATGCTCTTAGTGCTCAAAACTATTTTTAATCATGCATTTACTTTATTAAAATAATATTTTGAGTATATACTATGTATGATTGAAGAAGGATGTTTTAAATTGCTTAAAATCTTTGAAAATAATGATTTTTCAATTTTTGTACACAAGAAATCGATTGTCATGCTAGGACAATCGGTTGCATCCAAAAAACAAAAGCTTCTGTTTGACATACAATCGATTGTCATCAAGCAGCAATCAATTGTCATGTGTTCTGTTTTCAAATTTTTTGAACGTTGGCTTATGAGCAACTGATTGCTCCTCAATGACAATCGGTTGTCATAATTATATTTTTCAAATTTTTTACATATTGCTTTTACAGCAATCGGTTGTTGCTTTAGTGCAACCGGTTGTTGTGCCTTAAATTTTGAAAAACTTTATTTTTCCAGCAACTTATTGTAACACCTTTTCATGGCAATCTTTGTATCTTTTCAAATACATTCTTTTAGTAAAAATGGTTTAAACATTTCTATGTTTCATTGAAGAGGTATTACTACACTATAAATCATCTTTTGTTTAGATTTTTGAAAATAACAAAAAATACAACAACAATCACTAACATCTATTACTTTCTATTCTTTTGATCATACTCTTTATACTCAAGATTTTTGTTCATCATTTTCATATGCATACTGAAAATTGTTCTTGAGCACTTAGAAGAGTATTCCATCTTAAATTTCATATTGAATAGAAAAGATCAATCAAGTGATTGACATTGCTCTTTCATTATTCAAACTCTTATACAAATCAAACAAACTATTGTATACTTGTTTTTCAGGATTGTTGGAAACAAGAAAGACACTTAGGGAGGATTGTTCTCTTTGTGGTCTTAGTGAAAATCCAAGAGGATTGTTCTTGGTCCAAGAGGATTGTTCTTGGTTGTTAGGTAGTCTTTGTACAAATTACCAACTATAAGGAAATCTCTTTCATGTTGAAAGGGGACTAGAGTACTCTCGGACTGTGAGGGGAACCAGGATACATCTCTATGTTCTTTACTTTCCGCATTTACTGCTTTCATCACTTATCAGAAAAAGAAAGAAAAGAAACTCGTGCAAAAATATTCATATAATTCAGAAATTTTTTTAAAGAACCTAATTCACCCCCTCTTAGGCGCAGCTGAACTTACACAAGAATGATTATTGAAAAAG